AGAATTGGAACTCTCCGTTTGCTGCTGAAGATGGCGACGGAGCGTTTATGAGGGGTGTTCAGAATACTATGATGTCGATTCTTAATTCAGCATTCGATAAGGTTTAAATCCCACTGCCTAGAAAAGTATAAAGAAGCTGCTTAGCCTTTCCCAAAGATTTCTTTGTGGCAGCGTGCTTACTTGCATCACTATTCTACCCCTTCCCATTCCCAAGAGGTACTGGCTGGATAAACGGATGCCACGAGTTATGATTAAAGTCAAGAGGGTCGACTTCAGCGCACCGGGTTTTATCTCATATGGTTTGATTTCCTCTCCGCAGAACGGCTAGCCGCCTGCCGAGAGCGGCGCACAAAGCACGAACTCCGCAGTTCCCACTGTGATCTAAAAAATTACACCTGTGAACCGAATGGTGCAGCCATGAATCCGTGACCTTCTGAGTGCGAGACAAACGGTTTGACCACTTCGCCACGGAGACTCCGGGAAGAGGATGATTCATCTTACACTTACAGTCTGGCTTCTTCTTTCCTCACGCTCAACGGCTGTAAACCCCCAGCGAAAAGTTCTGGTTGTTCCCCCACTTCTGGAATTTGGTCTTGATCCAGAACTTGAATTTTGCCTGCATACCCTTTTTACAGAACTGACTCATTTGTATGTGGACTGTCGGTTCCTTGCCTCACAGGCAGATGCACTCTGACTTGTTAGGAGGGTGGAGGGTCTACTGGCGCTGTGGTACCCACATGGGAAACAGTAAGATCAAACCTAGCTGGGTCATTTTTCATCCACCGGTTTCAGCAATGTTACTGTCCACAGGCTCGAGCCCAGTGTACAGGGGGAAAACAATTATCTAATGGTATATAGAAAATCAAGAACAGCAGCAGCAAAGTGGACTGAAACTCACTTGCTGGCCCGAAGGCCTCAGGTTCAAATCCTCACAAAGTCAGATTTCTCTCTCTCCAAAACTGACCTTGGCTCCCAGGTTGACCCAGGTACTAGGTAGTTTTCTTGGAGGTAAAGGCAGCCAGTGTAATTTTAACCACATGTCCGGCTGAATGCTAATTGGTATGTTCTAACATCATATGCCACGGGCATAAAAAAAGTCCTTTACTTACTGATGTTTTACTATAAATAAAATGGCTTTCTATTTACTTAAATAAAACTATTGGTAGCATTACACACAATGTTTCAAATAAAAAGAAAAATACATCAAGTTACCTTTTCTATTTTTATTTCTTTTATATCAACATTCTTAAAAACAAATTATAGATTTCTTATCCCTTTCTGTACTCGCGTGAAAACAAATACAATGACAAAGAATGAATATTTTATTGTACAGAGCCAACATGTGTAAACGTTATATAAACACACTATGAAGCATGTTAAAATAGTAAAAAAAAAGTAAAGGACCCTCTTCCACACCATCAGGGCATATAGGGCTAGACCTATATTTTTATAGACCAATCGGCACAATGTGGGTGATGTGGTCAGCATCACGCCGGCCGCCTTTACTTCCCGGGACTGCACCCGGGACCCACTCAAGGCTAGGTCGACCTGGGAGTCAAGGTCATTTTTGAAAAAAGTCTGGCTCCGCCAGGGATTGAACCCACGACCTTCCGATCCTTGACGAGCGTCTAGCCGCTCGGCCACGGCGACTCCCCATGTTAAAACACTTGGCCAGATTTCTTTAGTATGCTGAGGCAAATTAAAAGGTATAACAAGACACCATTAACTTCTTAGTATACAAAGACACTGATTGATATGGTAAGTCACTTGGGACAAAACAAGTTAAAGATTGTGCCGTCAAGACAAATCAAACATATACCACTTGCATTTGTTCCGGAGCCGCTGTGGTCTAGCGACTAGAGGCTCGGCTGCGGATCAGAAGGTCGTGGGTTCAGTTCCTGACAGGGGCCGTGTTTTTTTTGCAAAAATGACATTAGCTCCCAGGTCGACCCAGCCTTGAGTAACAGGTACATTCCTGGGAAGTAAAGGTGGCCAGCGGGATGCTGACCACATCACCCACCAAGTGCCGTTTGGTCTAAAAAATATAGATATAGCTCTATATACCCGATACGCCTGACTGGCGTGGAAGAGTCCTTTACTTTTCTTTTAGTTTCATTTGTTTCCCCCATTGTAAATAATGGCAGTGTCACCGCACACTGTAAAATGTATGCTGAGTTGAGACAAGAATTGACATCGCAGCAAAGTTACCCCCTCCACCTCCATTCTCACACTAAATGTTGTGATGTCGTATGCTAGGCTGTCTTGCACTACAGATTTTCCATTGGCTTTCGCTACGAAACCCCAGCCACATCTCTTTTCACTTAACACCCAACCATCTGTATAGATTATCAGATCACTGGGGCATGAATTGTTGCGAATCAACTGTCGGCCTTCCATCTTCGTAGCACCCCATCACCACTCTCTTCCCAAAGTGATCATAACCCTATACAGGTCAGACTTTTTCTATGGTACTCTGACACACTCCTCTCCTCGCGAAGTGTTCTCCAGCATGCATACTTGTCTTATTGTGTCTTCTGCTAACAGAGAAGCAATCTGGCCAGTTCAAACCCCAGTAAAGACAAAACTGTATGAACAGAAGAAGAGGCAAATATGGTCTTGCCTTAATAGACACATTATTTTAATTTTTGAGTGCCCTACACCATAAAAAAAAAAAAAAAAAAACCAGAGAAAGGTTTTTATGATGGTTTTCAACAGTTACTATCTCCCTTATGGATTAGATTTAGGTTTATACAACGGATCAACATCATGGCACAAGGGTAGTAACCCGTAAGTGCTCCGTTCTACTTCTAACTCAAGTCTGAATCCGAAGAATCTCAGCGCAGTGCACAAACTCCTTAGCACCGACGAGGATTGTGAAATATTTTGGGTAGATTTTTAACTCCAAATTTTGCCAGGGCATCGCTGTTAGGCTACTCTTTTTCCATTTCCAACTGCCGAAGGAAACTGTTTAACGTGCTCAACAATACACACAGGCCTCCGATCTTACAACTCAGAGACTACGGGAAATTACTAGAAGTCCATGTGAAAAAAAACCCACCCTTCACTGGGGTTTGAACACGAGACCACGCAGCTCCCATCCTACCCATGGAATGCCAATTAACAACTTAGACAGAGTTTAGAGGCAGCGATGATGTGGTTTGGGATATGAATGTTGTGAATACCTTGGACAGCATGTAACAACATTTCTAAACAGCAAAAGTAAACATTATATGTAATTATAAAGTATACACTTGATCAATTCCATCAAAATACAGTAAAATCTGTTAACACAATTAGAAAGTATAGGAAAATCAAGACTTTGCATTAAAAATAACGTGTGCCTAGCGGGGAGTAACAATAACACATCCCTGCTATGACCAATATTTTGTTCATGTTAAATGACTGTTGTTCATAAGCTAGTTCACGTCAACAAGGTTTCATGGCATCACCATTTTGCTGTGTGCCCTTTAACCTCTCACACCAAGTTTGTAGCAAGTCCTCTATCCCATTTTATCCTGTGAAATTTTTTTAATATCGTTGATAGAATCCAGTCCTGTGCCTTTGGCCTCTCTCAGTGCTTTTGTCTTTTCTTGGATGTTCTCATTATTTCTGTCACATTGGTTCCCATTTCAGTAAAACAAGTGTCAAACAATAAACTATGCAATGTGAAAAAAAAAAAGGGGGGGGGGAGGAGAAAGTATTCCGGAGGGCATCAAGCAACTTTGAAACTGAGTGCATCTATATAAAAAAAAAAAATGCCAAAAACTGCTTTTATTACCACTTTTGTGGTGTAGCCAGGGGGGTCTTTGAGCCTGAGGATTTAGGGCCGCATGGCTAGTGCTGTCGCCACGACTGTGCAGATGATTTTATTTCGCCCCCGACAGAAAAAAATCCCCAGTCTTACCGAGGATTCGAACCCTAGTCTTCCACTTGATAGCCCAGTGTTCCAACTGTTCGGCCAACCGCTCTTCAGTGCATCTATACTTGTAATCATCTGTTGTGCCAATATTTTTTCTCAGTTCAATTTAAAATAAAATATTTTTAAAAAACTATTTATAAATCAAAAACGCTAAGGACATTTTTGTTTTCATGAGCAGAATGTACATCTATAGTTAAAATAATTAGTAGGATAATAAATGTAATAAATGCATTTAATTACAGATTAAGTCGGGGAAAAAAGTAGACTCTTGCCATTTAATTAAAAAAAAAAAGGGGGGGGGGGGGGGGGGGGGGTGAGCTACCTAAAAAAAAAAAAATTGAAAACCGGTTAAAAAATATAATATTAATAAAGGAGTCACTGATTTTTGTTCATGTGATGTGATGAGAAGGAGAAAACTGGAGTACATCGTGATGACAGGAAAGTTAAAGGGGAGGAGAGGCAGAGGAAGACTGAGAGAAAAAATGCTGGACAGTGTGACATAATGGCATGGAGAATCATGTGTGTCAGAGTTGACTGAAAGTACATGAGACAGAAGGTTGGGGATAGACATAACTACCAACGCCACACGGCTTAGACTTTAAGAAGAAATGTGAAAAGAGGCAGTGAAGAACAAAGTGAGGGCTGGAAAGACAAACTAAAAGAAATGATACAGGATGGTCTAAAACCCTGATTCCCAATTAGCTAAGACCTGCGGCAACCTTTGATTTTTAAAGGTCTGTAATGTAGCCCATACTTTTTAATAGTCACACAGAAGAAAGTATTGTCTTTATAACAGTTGCAAGGAACAATTTGTTTATCCCCCGCAATTTTTCTTGCTCAAATTCTTATCCAGATGAGATAAATTTCTGATAAGAAGAACCATTTCTCGAGTCCCCGGTGAGTTCTCATTATCAGGTTTTCACTGTATTAGAATTTCAAAATCATAAAACTGAGGTTTATTTTTGTGTGGTAAATGATAACATGGAACCCTTAAATTTATTTTGTGGTATCCAGGAAGTCAGTATGAAAGTTTTCTGTTCATAAATGTAAAAGAAATAAAATATCGCATTATTTCTATAATTCATTGTTGATGTAGAACACCTTGAAAGTCTGCTAGTAATTTGTGCCTGACCTTTGGGTCTTGTGGACGTACTAACATAATAATAACGCTAATAGCTGCAGATATGACACTAATAAACGCGGCACCGTCTATACTGTACTCCTGAGCTATGCCTGCAAAAAATGGCGCAGACATTCTAGCTACAGCCATCACACTCTGGCTGAGACCCATGATAGAGCCTATGTTTGCATCCCCGCTTCGACTTATTGTCAAGGTGGCGCCAGCTACCCTTGAGACGGAGGTCACGATGCTTAGGGGAGTGAGAAAGACAAATATCAGGTATATAGATGTGGAGAGAGTTAAGCACAGTAAGCTGACCACTTGAAGAATGGTTACATGAAGGAGCAGCTGGGCTGTACTGTTGTACCTGAAAAAAAAAGGAAAAGATTAAATGAATTAGTAATATTGAATAGAGTAGATATTACATACATAACAAAACCCGTGACCCATTAGGATCGTGGAGGTGTATTGATGAAAGCACTAGCACATAAAACCCACCATCTTTCTCTTCTTCTGCTTGATGAATAAGTGTATGATAACTTAGTCCTGTCCATTTCATGATGCTGTCATTCCATGTTCTTCTCTGAGGATTTATTACAACATATTTGTTTGTTAAATTTAAAAATCTGTTTCTTCTTTGCATTCACGGGTTGTAAACTAAGGTGGAAAGTTCTGGTGGTTCATTCACTTCTGGCCATCGATCTCGTTCCAGAACTTGAGTTCTGCATGCACATCCCCTTTACAGATTTGGCATATTTGTGAGCAGCTGTTGGTTCCTAGCCTCTCAGGCATATACACTCCAACCTTAAAGGAAGTATCCCTAAAAAGTATAATTTTAAGACATGCTTGTTTGGGTGAAAAAGTGGGAGAGGAAGGGGGTTGGAGATCTATATTTTTTTTCTTCCTAATAAAATGGGGCCTTGGAATTCAAAGAGGGAGTTTGTAAAGAAAAAAAAATTGAGACACTGCAAGCTGCTAGTTAAATTAGGAGATATTAAACTTATTTGTTTGTTGAAGGATATTTAACAACTTATTTATTAGTTAAATAAAGGAAACCTTTCGAAAATCATAGATAAATAGGAGATATTACATTTATTTGTTCAAAAACAGGAGACATCATAACTTATGTGTTCACTAAATAAAGGATATTTAACTCTTTGAGTCCCAGGGGGTTTAGCATCACAGGCCCATGGATTAGTAAAGAGAGTCATAAAATCAGCGCATCATGCGTTCATTGGGCTTCTAGGTAGGAACATGTGAACATATAATGCGTTCCCTGGGACTCAAAGAGTTAACCAATTATTTATTAATTTCTTAATTACATCAGAGAGATTGTACAACTAGTTTGTTGTGAAATAAACAAAATATTAGAACTTATTTATAAAGACGATAACAAAACTTAATGGACAGTTTAAAAACAATAAATTAATAAAACTAATCTGTTTGTTCAATAATGGAAATACTGTAATTATTTGCTTGTTAAATATTCCAGCCACTATAGTAACTTTGGTTCTATCCCAATATCTCCCCCCAAACAAACAGCCAAATATTTAAGGGGGTGGCAGATAGGCTGCATGCAGTCCTGTGACCAAGGCTGCTCAGTCGTGGGACCGTGGCTGCACTCTCTCTTGGCACGTAGGTGGGTTTGGGTTTAGGCTGAGTTCTAGATGTTTTGGGGTAGTTAAAAGCGACAGAAAACCGGGACTGAGTTTCTTTCAGGCAGACCGTGATGACAGCAACGCTTTGCTACACGACGATACGACGTGCTATGGCATAGTGGTCAATGTGCTGGTCTGCCAAGTTTGTCGTGTTGGTTCTGGAGCTCTATTTGTAAGGGAGAAAACTACAGACCCACTGCCCCACGTAACAGGCTTGTCCTTAAAGAAGACTTATTAGGGATTTTCTAAAACCGGATGTACTGGGATGTAATGTATATATATCACAGCCTAGCTGTAAACCACAACACAATGTGTCAACCACCCTTTTAAGGGTAAACACAGAAGGAGTCTACCATGTCAGTGGACTGGGTATCTCTAGTGGCAGGATTTTAAAAACCAGTTATGCTATCACAACTGAAATCACTGCACACTGCACAACCCCATGCATGCTCAGTCCTCCTATGCAGCAGCCACTCAAAGGTACCTCGTGTGATTGTTCCCAGGAGCAGTTGGTTATAATGTTTTCTATCTTGGTCTCGAAGGTGGCATAAATGTGCATCTTCTTCTCCTTCTTCAGCAATCCGAGCCTTTGAGGTTAATTGCTGCAAATATAACCCACCTCCGTTCATCTCTCTGGTTGGCCTTTTCTTTCCAGTTGGTAACACCAAGTGTTTGCAGTTCTGTCTGAACATTATCTCTCCATCGTCTTCTTGGTCTGCCTTGTGGTCTAAGACCATTCATCTCCCTTGTGTATACAGTTTATACTTCTCTGTCCCCTGACATTCTTTCAATATACCCCAACAATTAAAGTCTACTAGCCATAGACGCGCTCCACCATGTTTTATTCCTATGTTATAAATAAGAGTTGGTGTCAGAGATTCATCATTATCCAGCCACCTAGTCCGTAAAGCACTGATGATAACTGCTCTGTCCATACCTCTCCCCGCACGTGTTGTGCACTGCTTGCCAGTTGGTCCTCTCATTCGTTACCTTACATATCCTGGTGAACAAACTATAACAGTTTGGCTCCAGATAATCTACTGAATTTTGTTGAAAAGAAATGTGATGAGGTGATCAGGAAGAGAAGTAGCAACTACTCACCTTTCCGTGACTTTGCCTACAAGAAAACCAGACAAGGTAGCCACTGCTCCACTGTATGAAGTTATGTAGCCGATGGCTTTAGGGCCTGCTTCAAATTTCTCCTTCAAAACCATTGTGAAGTTGCCACGGAATATTATCACTGAAAATCCTGAGGGAGAAAGAATGAGCAATGGGTATATTTAAGGATTTGTATATAATATGAACAACACTGTAGCTGGTAAAAATGAACAAAACGTTATCTGTTAAAAATCAGTTAAAATTGTGTGTCTAATATACAAATTACATAGAACCTGTTCTGCTGTATGGAAGCGAATCTTGGAATGTCAGTGAACAAATTAGTAAGAATTTAGAGATGTGGTTTCTGAAACAAATGTTACAAATACCTTGGACAGCCAGAGTAACTAACAACGACTGCTTGAAAGAAGCTAATGAAAGTAGATCTCTATATACAACAAAAGAAAGAGACAAACACTGTTTTTTTTGGGCCACATAATGAGAAGATAGTCATTGGAGAACATCGTGACAACTGGAAAGATCAGTGGAAAAAGGGGTAGAGGCAGACCAAGAGAGATGATGCTGGATGGACTGAAACGATGGAATGGAGTGATATCATTAAGAGAGCTGTTCCAGGCAACCAGGGATCGTGATCTGTGGAGACACATGAGTGCCTATGCCTGCTGGCAGGGCACATGATGATGATGATGAATATATAAGTGGGATACTGTGCATAGTTTTACCCTGCTCTCAGGAGTCAATATCGGCAATTCTTTAGAAGACTTTAGGCTCCTCTGATACCAGAAGTAAGTTAAATTAGTTATAAAGTTAGGCTTCATATACTCCTTGGTACCAAAAGAGTTAATGCGGCCAGCTGGGGGAGGGTATCCGGATGTTCTGTGTGCTCTTTCCAATGCACGATTTAAGCCAGTCTTAATTTCTTGTGCTTCTTCTTATTCTTTGCATTTGTTTTCATATGCTCAGATCAGACCATCAGGTGGGTTGCTTCTATGAACTCACATGTCAGTAGCAGGTCCTTCATGGTTCCCCATAGCTTGGTCTGCACACTTTGCTCTTGAGGCCAGGTGTCTTTTTAAAGTTGCAGGTAGAGTGGGCAGGTCTGCAGGATGTGCTCAGGTGTTTGTGGTCCTGTTTGACAGGCACACTGTGGGGGACTGTACTATCTTTATTTTATGCATGTGGCAGTTGAGCCTGTAGTGTCCTGTTCTTGTGATTGATACTGTACTTAACCTTTTGTGTGGTCTTTCCCTACCACTTTGCTCATTAGATTTCTTCCCCGTGCTCTCTGCGAGACTATCTTGTCAGGTGGACAAACCATTTACTCTGCTGTTCAACAGGATTATATTCAGTTTTAGTCTTCATCTAATTTCTCTGTTTTTTTTTATCTCTCTTTATTACTCCAGAAGCTTTGCTAAGGCATCTCACCTTTTTCATGATGATTTTCTGCCCCTTTGTTTTAATAAAAACCCATATCTGACACTGGGCGAATGTTGGTAAAAATCGTTCTTATGAAATTTGCTTTGGTAATTTCTGATCAACGACTATCAAAATAAATAATCAATAACAAACCTGCGAAGAACTTGACAAGAAACAAATCCCAGAGCTCAGCCCAGTCAAAGTCTCTGAACAATGGCACCAGGTGACTGAAGCTAAAGCTGACGTCATCATGGACCGGTTTCTTTTGTATTATGTTGTCATCTTTCTTCAGGGCTATTTCTGGGTGATATACCTCTGCCTCCAGGGATATATCATAGCCGGCAGTGAACCAGATCAACACTGTCAGAAAATTTTAAAAATAGAAAATCATTTCTTCACCATCCCACCCTGAAAAGCTTCAGAACTAGTCACTTCTGGTTCTGCCTAGTCCCCGTAAATGCAGAAATATGGCTACGTCTGGAGTGAACTGTTTTCAAAAAGCGTAGCTAAATTTTATTGGTATGTGCGCCTGCACTGTGTTTGATATGCCAGGATATGAATACCGTAAGTAAACAACAATTTTGGAGAAAGAAAAAAATGAGGGGAAGGGGAACGCTCCTTATGACCCAAATGTCTTTTTTGAAAGCCTATTCGATGTAAAATTTTGCCATAAGCCATGAGTCACCCAAAATATTTTTTCAACGTGCCAGGGAATGTATTCCATATAATGCTTCACTCTGTGTTTTACCTGCATATGAATTTAAATACTCTGAAAAAAGTTTGCAGTGTAGATGAACAATAAAATACAAATTTATGTGACCTGTGTTTTACATTTTTTCTTTAAAGGATTTTTACCATAAATTCCTGTCTCCCACTGGCTGTACTCTCTCTCTCTCAGAGACTGCTGACCTTTCGTATACTGAAGTTATATTATCACAGTTGACGTCAATGTACATTGGGCGTTTTGATATGTGCTCAGTTCTCCGATGCAGCAGCCATCTCAAGGTACTTCTATAGATTGTTGTCATAGAAAGTTTTTTTAAATACTGATGTTATCTTCCCAGTTGCACCACTATCAACCGGTTTTCAACCGTTCACTCCAGTACAGGTATACAAGGGTGTCATGTTTCTTGATGTGACCACAGTTTAAAAAAAGGTGGGGGGGGGGGGGGGGGGGGGGGGGAGCACATGGAGCGTTTTTTTTTGAGTGCATTGTACTCATAATAACCTGTTATTGTGTCTTTTTTTAAAAGTCTAGTTATAAATAAAACATTAATATATTTATAAAACAAAAGAATCAAGGACATTTGTTTTTCTTCATTAACGGTTTGTACATCTGCCTCCTCTTTTTAATCACATTTTTTTAAGTTGGAAAGAGGGAGAGAGCGGAGCAAAGAAGTCATAAATTTAAAAAAAAAAAAGGAGGAGGAAGGAGTGCCACATAAAAAAAAAGTTTAAAACCATTGGTTTAAATTAACTACAACATTTTCTTCTGTACTGTATATACATATTTACCTAAATTACAGGAGGACCAGGTAAAGTCCTGGGAAGTAAAGGTGGCCAGCCTGATGCTGACCACATAACCCATCGAGGGCTGACTGGCCTATAAAATAATGTTTAGCTTCCTATGTCCAATGCACCACTGCCATGTAAAGAGACCTTTGCTGTTTACTTTTACTACAAGCCAAAGGCATAAAAAGAGTCCTGTACTTACAAATTTTGAAATTTACAACAGGAAAACAACTGTTTTTAACTGTAACATACATTTGTAACACAATCTTACCTGCATTTCCTATGAAGACAATCCCAGCTGCAAATGCGGCGAGGCTAAAGCTAATTTCCGCCAGATGCCCGCCAATGATGGGGCCCACAACAAAACCTATGTTTGAAAAGGAATTAAAGTTTCCCAGCAAAGCTGAACGTTCATGGTCTGCTCCAATATCAGCAAGGAATGCTTTAGAAATGGTCTGACTATGTTTGAAACAACCTGCGGATGAAGCAAAGACAATTAAGTAAGTACAACAACATTGTGTATCATCATTCAGTGTTTTGCCATCTACTATAAGCAATCGTGCTCTTCACATCGTGCAGTCTCCACCTGCCTGTTTCAATTTGGGTACTGACATCTTTCTGCACTTGACAAAAGGGTACCAAGAATCTTCTCCTTTTTCCTTCTTATACCTCTCTTTTAAAGATTCTCTCCAGTTTTCACATGAGCACATTTTCTCTTCTCATAATGTACTGATAGGTTGAGAGAGCAGTAAAAGACAGCTGGTACAAATAAAAGTGGGGGGGGGGGGGGGGGGGGCACAGGATCTGCCAAAAGAACTTTTGAAAGGCAATTTTCTCCCTGTGTGGATTCCAGGGCCCTGTTGTAGGAAAAACAAGAAAAGACCACTGCCTACCCAAAAGCATGTCATAGGAGTCGACTAATTGGGAGCTTTCTTCAGAATCTGATCCATCTGCCTGAAAGGCAAGGAACCAGCAGACTGCATACAAATGAGACTGATCTGTAAAACGGATGCACATGCAACACTCAGGTTCTGGAATAGGACTGCAGTCCAGAAGTGGATGAACAACCAGAACTTTCCGCCAGAGTTTACAGCTGGTGAACGCAAACAAGAAAAAGAAAAGCAATTTTCAGCCACAGTTGTTCCCCTGGACCATGCAGAGGCTGTGAAGTGTGTTTGGTTTTATTACAATATCCATACTGTGGCTAGTGTATGCCAGGAGTTTTTCCAGAAGAACTGCTAGAGTGCAAGAACAGACAAGAGTAAAAATTAAAAAAACATTAGATGAAGGCTAGGACTAAAACCAGTCAACCAGTTCGTTAAATAATTTACAGATACTGCAGCTTAGATGTAAACCACAATGTAACATGCCAACCAACCCTTGAGGGTGAGCAAAGAAGAAGAATATTTATTATAATAGTTATCTTGAGCAACTAAACAAACAAGCACATAATATTTTTATAATGAAGAATAATAAGAAGGATTGTGGATGGGCTGAGTGGTCTCAAGGAATGGCATCCGCCTCAAGTGCTGGAGGTCCCAGGTTCAGGCCCGGTAAAGGCTGGGATTTTTTCACGTGGACTTCTAGTAATTTCCCCTGGTCTATGGGTAGTAAGATCGGATACCTGTGTGTATTGCTGCGCACGTAAAAAAAAAAAACAAATCCCTTCGCAGCTGGAAAGTGAAAAGAGTAGCCTAATGGCGCTGCCTGGGCAAAAATCTGGAGTTAACAATCTACCCAAAGAATTTCAGGATCCTCGCTGGTGCTACAGAGCCCATGCACTGCGCTGAGATACTTCGGACTCATACTTGAGTTAGAAGTAGAACGGAGCACTTATGGGTTGCTACCCTTGTGCCATAATGTTGATTCCTTGTTCAAACCAAACCAATAGAAATGACAATGGTCAGCAACCAAACATACCTACGACAGAATATTTATATAATGATCAAGTTGAGCTACTAAACATACCTATGACAGAATAGTTAAACAATGACAAAGTTGAGCAACTAAACACACCTATGACAGAATAGTTCTTTAATGAAAAATCTGAGCAACTAAACTTACCTATGATATGCTTATACCTATAATTTCAGCAATTAACATACATATGATAGAATGGTTCAATAAAGACAAAGTTAAGAAGCTAAACATACCTATGACAGAATACTGTAGTTCTATAATGACAGATTTTAGCAATAAACATACCTATGACAGAATAGTTCTACAATGACAGTGATAAGAAACTAAACATACATATGACAGAATAGTTTCATAATGACAAAGTTGAGCAATTTAACATCTATATTATATATCTATATCCTCTTCATATCGCTGTTGACACATAAGGCATTCACAAGCGATTTTCATTGCTGCCGGTCAGCTGCTTTTCTGCCCATGCTATCCCATGACAGTTTACATTCCTTCATTTCCCGCTCTATCGTCCTTCTCCAGGTTTCCTTAGGTCGTACATGTCTCCTTTTTCCATCTGCTGCCCACCGGAGAGCTGTTTTTGCCAGAGTGTCACAAGCCATCTCCAAACATGTCCAAGCCATCTCCATCGTCTTAATTTGATAAAATATGCCAGTTTTGCACATTCTGTTTTCCTCCTAAACATACACAGGACATCATATTTGTATAATGAAGACAAGGTTGATTAACTAAACAAACCCAAGATAGAATATTTATAAGCAAAATGTTTAGCAACCAAATATACCTAAAACGAAACGTCCAACAAACAATACAACCAAAGACGAGTAAAGTCCAAGTATAGAGTAGCCACATCCTGACAGCAATAAACAAAGAAACAAGCTGAACTGTCTCCCTACTCTGTCACTCCACCTTCCCTGAAAGAAAGAAAGAAAATAAAAGTGTAATAATATAACAAATATGGACCTAAATCAATGATCACATAGTTGGTAAAACTTTAAAGTCGACCATCACACTGACACCCCTCCTGTGTTTTAACAGAGGATCTCAGTGACAAACAGGTGAACCCATTAGCCTTTACTGTGAATACTGCACACCTGGTTTCAAATTCCATTCCGCACGTGGGCTCCAGGGCTACATTTTGGAGAGAATACAATTAATACCCACCACCCCTTAACAAGAATGTCATAAAAGGGTGGCTTTTTAGTGATATACAAAAATGGGATTTACTGGGTCCAAATGCGCAGATATCACAGCTTAAATTTAAACCACAAAAGAGCGTGCCGAATTCCTGTTTATTTTTTACTGTTTTTTTACATATCATCTTATCGCACATCCGACATGGCCATAAATGGTTCGATCTCTTGCTGAGTATGTCTCCAAGTGTTTTTAGGCCAACAACTTCCATTCCTTTTAAGGAATGAAGAAGAAGAAGACTCCATCATTTGAACATAGGGTGCTTTATTAATATCCTACCCCCAAGTAGGGGAAATTACCAAGTCATGGGACAGTCTAATATTTCAGGGGGTAGTAGATAGGTTGCATGCAGTCGTGGGACCTAGGCTGCATGCAGTTGTGGGACCTAGGCTGCACTCTCTCGTGGGACTTAGGTGGGTTGGGGTTAGGGCCAGTTCTAGATGTTTTGGAGTGGTTAAAAGCATCAGAAAGCCGGGAAACCCAGTCTTACCGCCCTCTAAAATGCTGGACTGTCCTGTGATGTCATCTGGGGTAAGATAATAAAAAAACTGAACATAGAATGCCAGTCTTTCCCATCTGGCGTCTAGGGCCTCATTATGGAGAAAACAAGAATAACCCAATTGCCTCCTAACAAGTAAGAGTTGATTAATTAGGAGGTTCCTTCACAGTTGGAGATAATTTGCCTGAGAGGCAAGGAACCAACAGTCTGCACACAAATAGCTAGATCTGTGCTGCACGCAGCACTCAAGTTCTGGAACAGACTATAAGTCTAGAACAACCAAAACTTTCCACCGGAGTTTACAGCCAGTGAATGCAAAGAAGACAAATGCAGAAGGTTTGGAGATCTCTGGAGGTTTGTTGCTGAAGCTAGATTTTGTGGCTGTACACAGCACTCTTGGCAGACAAGTGGCGGCTTTGCAAAAAAGAAACAGCCAGATGTGAGATAAACCCAGTATAGTGAAGTTAACCCTCTCACTTTTGAAAACATTTATAATGTCAGATTTTAATATTTTAACAAATTGTCAAATTACTCAAAGATATTAGGGAACTGTGGTAGCACAGCAGCTAGAAGCTCACCTGCTGGCCCGATGGTTGGGGGGGAGGGGGTTCAAATCTGCATCAATTTTTAATTTGTCCTGAAATGAGTATCAGGTAATATCCTGGAAAGTATAGGCAGCCAACTTAATGCTGACCACATAACCTGTCCACTGCTGATTGCTATAAAAATAAGGTCTAGAATTATATGCTGGATGTGCCGAAAGTGAGAAAAGGGTTCTTTATTTCAGTTTACTTTCTATTTATAGATGTTATAATAACTTACAACTAATGGACTGCTAAACAGCTGAATTCCACCATACACTGACCCTGTAAAATAGAAAACATGTAAAGAATGATTCACAGAAAGGAATAAATTGGTCAACATTCAAATTAAAAAACAAAAACGAAAAACAAACTGCCATTTACTGCCTGAATTTACCACTTTTGCGGTGTTTGAGGGGTGGTCGTTAAGCCTGAAGTTTTAAGGCCACAGGGCTAGCGCTGTCACCACACAACACAGTCTCCCACATGAGGGACAGCCGCTCATCAACATTCAAAGGTGTTCACAAAATAATGCTGGTGCAATCAACAATGACAATCACTTGGCTTCCTTTCTGTGTGGGTTCTGAGGCCCCACTGTGGGCTAAACAAGAATAGAAACTTCCGGTTGGGTCCAATTGGATGTCTTCGTTGGTCCCCATAAATGTCACTTTTCCGACTTGACTACAGTGACTTGTTTATGAGACACACACTTGTAATGAGTAGTGGTTTAACTTGAAATGAAGTGATGCTTCACTTGTAATAAACCTTGGCTTGACTAGAAATGAACCTTGACTCACTACATATTGGCTTTCGCCACGGCTCACTCTCTGGATGTTACTGCTACAAAACTTGCACTACTTTAACGTCTAGGGTTGACAACACAAATGCCACTCGGCTCCTTTGTACATTCTATCAGTTTATTCTAGTCCATTTATTTCACATATTCAAACATTATTCGCACTTCTATCACTCGCGACATATTCGAACATTAACCATTTGCCCGACATAAAGACCACATCCTCAAATACTACAACCGTCTTCTCTGACTTCTGATGATCCACTGACCACGAGGCTAGCTCGGGCTTTCCCTCGCTTCCTCGACTAGGCACAAGTATCTCGTGCTGTCCCTTGTTGCACGGACTTTCTGCTTGCCACCATGTAATCGTGAGGACCATGCACAGCACCTCATCACATACTCCCCCCACCCTTCTTAACAAAATGATACTTTATGGAACATCAAGTATCATTTTCCCTTTTACTGATAGATGAATCAATGGAACATAAATCTAACTACCCTACTAGGGATTACCATTGCTAATTACCCTCAGTTACCGCCCTTGGTTTTAAATTTTTACTGTATGCTTTTTAAAGTACTGATCTGGTGAAGGGTATCTCATCTTTGCACCTATTGCATCTGTAGTATAGCTTTGTCACTATATCTATTCTATCAGGTTCAAGTGAAATGATCATTGTGATGATGGTGATAATAATGGTCTTCTTTGAGATATTTACTACAGGAATAATTACTCAATTTAAATGTATTACTGCTAGGAATTATGGTTCCTGATTATCCTCAATTACTGCCCTTTAAAACTGCCTTCAATATTTACTGCATGCTTTTCCTAGTACTGACCTGGTGAAGAGTTTAAACCATCTTTACACCTATTGCATCTGTAGAATTGTCTAGTCACTATATCTACTCTATCGGGTTCAAAGTGAAATGATGATAGTGATGATGATGATCAGCTTTGAGATATTCACTACATAGAAAATTAGATTGAACCAATATTTCTACATCACCTTTCACAGGGTGTTAAACCCCAAGGACTCTTAGCCGATATGACAGTGGTAAGATATATTTATCATAGTGCTTCTGGTTTCCCAAAAGCCCCTATAACACCTTTTACAGGGTAATTACCCAACCCCAAGGAATCTACCACAGAAAAAAAAATGCATGTTGGGATATTTTTTCTTAGACCAAAGTCTCACCTTTCACAGAGTAATTACCCAACTCCAAGGAATCCAACATGAAAACAATGATAGTTGAGATATATTTTTCATAGATCTTAGAGTTTCCTCCAAGTCTATAACACCTTTAACAGGGTAGTTAACCCCAAGGAATCTCAGACACCTTTCCCCCTTTAGATGGACACAGATGAGTTCAACTCCTCTACTATGCTTGTGCTTTGATGTATGCACTCTTTCTTTACCATCAGTCTAGTCAGCATCAGTATAATTATAGCAGTTTATAATCTTGGGTGTCGTGGACCAATTTACCATGTCCCTGTGCTAAATCATTTCAAATTGAATATCGAAATCATTCTGTGGAAAAATATTTCTATATGATCTATTACTAAATCTTGATTTAATTCTTTTGTGCTGTTCCTGGGAAGAGAATTTTTTTTTTCTTTTCTTTTAACTTTTGAACTACTAATTCTGTTATTACATGTATACTAAAATAATTCTAATGAACTACTAACCTAAGTTAAATTCATGTACACTATTTAAATACTACCCACAAATCTTTCATTCATCATTCATACCTGTTTTATTCTCTTTCATTCCCATTCATTCCATTAACTATCCTTGATCTTGATCCATCCATGCAGGCTGTGTGTGTCTTGCTTATACTCTGGCGCTTGCTTTCAAGGTTCTCATTCCTTGGTTTGCTCGACAGTCTGCTCTGCTCTGGGGTCTCTCTTAGTAGGCTTGAACTGATAATCTTAGAGATTTCCTGACTAAAAATATACTTTAATTTTAAGAGTTAACACAATGCTATTATCAGTGTTCAGTGACTGTATACACTGATATACCACCTTTAAAATAATTAGTAATTGAATTAAACGGAAGGTGTTCAATACACACAGTATGTGACTGTTTTTTTATAAATGAAATCAGGTGTTTATGCACTTTTTTAAAAATACTTCATAATTAATTTAATATTTATTTACACAAACACTTTAGATAATTAACTTGATTTAACTTTCACAATAAATACTTGTGTGAACACTAGAAATACTGACATTTTGGTTGTCTGTTGTCTTTGCTTAAACTGTAGGAATGCTTCATTATTCTCGCATTCTTTATTTTATGATACGTTTGGTATTCGATGATCTTGATGTCGATTTGTATAGCTGGTCTTGAAGTGTCGCTAAATATTTGATGATTTTGAGATGTTTCAATCGTTGATTTTTGAGGTGTCTGAAGAAAAAAAAATCTTGTGTTCCTTGATAGTGATTTTCAAATTTGAATAATTCAGTGGCTGATATGTTTCTGTTCATTTACTGTACAGTACAAGTTGGTGATTTCTGATTTTGGTTGAAATAAGACAATCTTGAAAGTAAAGAATGGTAAAGTATCAATTCTTGATGACCCCCGTGTGGGTTCCGGGGCCCCATTGTGGGGAAAACAAGAATAGACCCACTGCCTCCCCAAAAGCATGTCGTAAGAGTCGACTAATTGGGGAGCTTCCTTTGAAGTCGGAGTGCATCTGCCGGAGAGGCAAGGAACCAACAGTCTGTATTCAAGAGAATAGATCTGTAAAACTGATGCACACGCAACACTCAGGTTCTGGAGCAGGACTGCAGTTCAGTAGTGGACGAGCAACCAGAACTTTCCGCCAGAGTGTACAGCTGGTGAACGCGAAGAAGAAGGAGAAGAATTCTTGATGATTGTTCAGGTTTACTCTTGATCGTTAGGTTGAAAGTGGTTCTATGTAGCTTCCTGACTGATAATAATCTTGAACTTCTTGCATGGTGATATGTTAGCTTGATGTTGATGTTCAGGATGATGGACCGTGTGGTTTCAAGTTAGTAAATAGTGATACTTCAGTTCATAAATAAAGATGGTAATTTTCCTTGAATCAGCTGTTATTTTTGTTGATGGGGATGACTTTGTTCCCAGACTTGTATGTCTTCATCAGAACAGTCTCTAATGTTGAAGTCTTTGTATCCCAGAATCACATCTGTTCCGATGTTGCTCGTTACCACTACTTTCAATGGTCTTGATATATAGGGCGACTTCAAATAAATATAAGCTGTCCAAAATCGCATAAAAAAACCTTCTCTGTCTAAACCATTTCTCCGCTATAATCTGATTTTTCTAAAAATTTCTCACGTACCAAAGTGATATTTGATTTTCTATTTAATTGCATTTGCGCTGGTTTCTTGTTTATCAAACATTTAGTTGACTTTTCCCAATATTTCTGACTTGTTGCTCTGTGGAATTGATCATAATCTATATATTTATTGTCCTCTAAAAATGAAAATTCTTTATTCATGGCTTGTTTATCTATTAGTATTTCACAGTCTGCCTGTTTCATACTTTGCGTTTCCAATCTATTTTTTCCTTGATTGTGACTCTTGGCTGAATCAGATTTAGATTTCATTTCTGAAAAAGTTGGTGGTTGCTGATTAATTTCCATTGTTTCTGAGTTTGACTTTTTCTCTGTTTCAGTGGCTGCTGTCTTTTTTGTTTCAACTTTCTTGCTTGTATTACTACTCTTGCTGGATTCTAATTCTGCAATCACGATTTCGTTCTTAATCTTTTTAGTTCCTGGACATTTCAATTGGCTTTTTCCTATAAACATGATATGTGAAGCTGTAACTTTTCCTTGATTCTTTCTCCAGTAGCACAGTGAACAATCTAGAGTAGGAATACCTTCTGAATCTATTCTTTCTGAATTAGTTTTTGAAAACAAGGATCTTTTCTTGTGTTTTAACATCTGTTTCCCAACACAGTGTTTTACAATATGTCCGAATGCCTTACAGAAGTGGCACTTTTTAAGGTTATTCTTTTGTTTATTTTGCCACTTTTTATTGACCAAGTCTTCAATATAACTTGAATATTTAGGATCTCTGTCGCAGATAGTTGAAGAACTGTGCTGGTACTTACAAAAAATGCACATCTTGATCTTCTGGTTGCTTATCGATGTATCTTTCATTGTTGTCGCTGAAGATACTTGCGACAAAGTGTTCTTACTTTTTACCAACCTTTTAGATGCCATTCTGATAAACGCACAATCGATTTAAAAAATGTCACCTTAGTAAGAAAACATAGTAACTGTAAATAAAATTAGTTCATAGTCCGCTAGTTTCCGTGAAACAATAATGGTCACAAACCTGATTTAATTCACAAACTAGATTTGAAATATCTAAGATGTGTAGCTTTGGTAAACATGAAACTTCCTGAATCCGCAAAACTTAGTGATCCGGTGTGTGGCGGAGCGTAGATGACACACCGGTTTTCATTGGTCGGCAGCTGACCTGTCGGCGCTTGCTGTATTTATAGGCTCTGCCGGGTGAAGACTTTGTACTGTACACTGTTTTCCGCATGTTTGTCTTACCTTGGAAGAAAAATTGTTTCCCTATGATTGAGGTCCACGTGGTTTCGAATTTCCTTCGGACAAGCTCCCCACTTGAAATGTTTCTGGTCTACTTGAAATGAGTCAAAGCCTTACTTGAAATGAACCTTGGTTTGCACCGGCTTTACTCGTCATGCACCTTGACTCACTACATATTGGCTTTCGCCACGGCTCACTCTCTGGATGTGCCAGAGGTCCCGGGTTCAAATCCCGGACGAGCTCCCACTTGTAATGAGTAGTGGTTTGGCTTGAAATTAAGCGATGCTTCACTTGTAATAAACCTTGGCTTGACTAGAAATGAACCTTGACTCACTACATATTGGCTTTCGCCACGGCTCACTCTCTGGATGTTACTGCTACAAAACTTGCACTACTTTAACGTCTAGGGTTGACAACACAAATGCCACTCGGCTCCTTTGTACATTCTATCAGTTTATTCTAGTCCATTTATTTCACATATTCAAACATTATTCGCACTTCTATCACTCGCGACATATTCGAACATTAACCATTTGCCCGACATAAAGACCACATCCTCAAATACTACAACCGTCTTCTCTGACTTCTGATGATCCACTGACCACGAGGCTAGCTCGGGCTTTCCCTCGCTTCCTCGACTAGGCACAAGTATCTCGTGCTGTCCCTTGTTGCACGGACTTTCTGCTTGCCACTATGTAATCGTGAGGACCATGCACAGCACCTCATCACAACAGTAAATGCTTTTGGATGTTTTCACGCCTGTGCAAAATTTGGAGGTCAAGAAAGGAATATGTTAACTAAAAATAGCGGGGTAGGGATAAATAGCTTTTTACTTGTAAATGCTAAGTTATGTCAAATCTTCCTGTAAGCCTCAGTGATAGAGGTTACAGCATGAGTCACCTCATACATATGTTCTGATAGGCCCAGAGAATATATCTATTTAATGCTTCACTCTATTCATGTTTACTGAATACTCTTTTCATGTATCTTTATATATTCTGAAAAAAATATATAAATAAATAAATAAATTAAAAATGCAGGTAAATTAATCTTTAACAAATTGATTAGTGATCTTTGTAAAATGTGTGTTTTGTAATGGATTTTTTTTTCTGGAATAAGGTAAAAAAAGGTAATGACCAGTATATTTTGTGTTTAAAGTGGTCTAAGGGTGAGATGGTTGAGGATGAACACATAATCAAAGAGATTGTTTTAGAAAGGAGTATACTACAGAACAATACCTATAAGACCTGCCAGTGTTGGAGACGCCCCAATATCTTGAGCGTGTGGCAGAATGAGAGGCATGATCATACTCACACCAAAGAGATCCTGCAAAAAAAAAAAAAAATGAAAAAGTTAGCTACGTATCCTTTACAGAACTTACAGAACCCATCCCAGCATTTTTTGGCTGTTGTGGTTTTTCTAGACAAATTGTAGGTTCAACAGCTTGCCACTGCTTTCTGGATGAAGGTCAGTTCTCTGTACTACTGTCGAAACCAACGCAAGACAAACCGTCTGCAGCTGGGTTCGAACCTGGCACCTGACATTATAAAGCGTGTTCACAATGCTTAAGCCACAGACACCAAATAATACATGTTTCTACAATCATGCATTTGAAAGTCATATTCAATAAATCATACATCATTATCATAGATGAAGTTGCCTTACAATATTTTGCCCTGTCTCTGGCTCTTTTATCCAAAACAACAACATCAAAGTAATCAGGACACAGCTGAAAGAAATCAGTACATTTAAAGAACTTGGGTACCTGATAACAGATGGAGAAAGTATTTAAGAAGTTAAATGTAAAATAGCTCAGGCAAAGGCAGCAATTTCACAAATTGAAGAATATTTTACATAATCTTTGTCAATTGAGGTGATAAAGAGAATTCTAAAGAGCTATTTAAATCCTATCCTGATATAAGGAAGTGCATCATCAACAGCTGGTCCAATCAAGAAAAATTATGTGGAAGCGACAGAGTTGTAGTTTTATAGACGAATTATGAAAACATCCTAGACAGATTAAAAAGAGTAATGAAGATAGATGTCTTGAAATAAACTGACTCATGATGAGAACTGACTGCTCACATCAGAAACAGACAATAACCATTCTCTTAATTTGTCATGAGAAAGAGCTAACTGGAGTACATTGAGATGGTGGGAAAGTTGAAGAGGAAAAGAGGCTGACGGAGACCGAGAGAGAAGATGCAGGACAGTTTCACATTATGACACTGTAGATCATCTGGGTCGGAACTGATATAAAGTACAGAAGACAGAAGAAA